CAAACAAATATAACCATTTTTTTGTTGGAGGTTTGCTTCCAAAAACATAGTCCAACCATTTCTAAAGAATTGTGTCATCTTGTAAGAATAAAAGTAGGGCAGTCTCATTTATCCGACAATGCATTTCCTCAAAGGTATTTTTTTGTTAATCAGAAAAGGACTGGGCTAAAAAGTAGTATTATAATACGTAGTATTAGAACTACAAAATGCTAATATACTAGCTATTTACTAAATGTTGCTGTTGATAGCATGCAGGAGCTGTATGGAAGGAGTGTTCTCTGATTGTTAAGCTCGACTTGGAGACTGCTGCTCAATCCCAAATCTGCCTCTAAACGCTACACCAAAACACAAACCCTCTGTTCCTGTTGACTGTCCCAAACCAGATAGTGGGTAGGGCAAGGGGACAGTTCAGCCCTCACTTTAAGAGGCTGCATCAGTGCAGACTGGATTTAGGCAGCAGGTACAATGGAGACCTAATGGCTGAAGAAAACACTTGGATTCAGATGTTAATTCACTGGTTTGCTGCGTCTTTGTCACACGGACAGAAAATCACAAGGTTGAAGGAGGAAAAAGTTTGAAGAAGTTGAATTTGACTGTGTCAGGATTCGGCAGCCTGGGCCATGCAGTTCTGCTGGCTCGGCCTTCTCCACTCTCTCTGCAGGTGACTGTTTGACAGAGGGGCGGCAGCACTATAAGAGCTGGACTGAGACAGCAGGAGGACGCCTGAGTGAAACCGTTGTGGTACGAACCAGTGGCCTCTGTTGTTGGGAGCTGGAGAAGTTCCACCTTCCTCCAGCAGAGTCCGCCGTGGATCCTCCTGAGCTGAGCTGCCTGCACACCTGTGACAGATCATCTCATCAGGAGGACCACAGTACTTAAGCTGTCTTCAGACCTTGCCTCGACGCCGCAGTGTTTAATCAGTTTGGTTAGCACCTAAGCCTAGAACCTCCTGAGAACTTTGCTATCTCTGAGTCCAGTTTGGATTCTAACCTTTTTGTCTCTGCTTCCAGGTTACCTGTTTTTCTCCTGTGAAGCTCTGGAAGAGCTTAACCTGCCGAGCCTGCCCTCTAAGCCAAACCTGAAGACTCTCTTCTGGATTTCCAAGCAGCTCTGGATTTAGAGCTGGGAACTCAAACCAAGGTCAACACCCTCACTAGAAGTAAGACGCTGAAACAGTTATCGGACTCTGCTGAACCAAACCATCTCCGGACCCAACAGTTCCTCTCCCAAAGTCTCTTCTACGCATCTCAAGGTACAAACCAGAATCTCTCAAGATCGATTCCAACCAAGCCAACGCTAACTGAACTGTCTCCCTCACAGACTCCAGTGAACCAGTCCCCAGGCCTGAACCAGCAAACTGTACATTTACTACGTGCTTGTGTAACATAAACTTGTTAACTTTTCCCCTGAGTCCATTGTGTTCTGCATCTTAGGCCTCTCAGTAAACCCATCATGACATCTGTCTTCTGACAGCAAAACTATTCCCGTGCTAAAAGCAATTTTTTTGTGTGTCTCCAGGTCCTCGATCGTGTTCGGCTTTTTCCTCTCTGCTCAATCTGCCCACCTGAGCTCCCTTGGTTGCCCTCCTGGATCCTCCTGCTGGCTCTGTGGACAAGACCGCCGGTGCTGTTTGGTCCCGCTCTCAGTCCCTCGTCAGTCTCTCAGTCACCAGCCTCACCAAGGTCAGGCAGTGCCGAGTCCGATCCGTTCTCCCCGATCCGGTTTCTCATCTCAAGTGGTAAGCTTTTTTTCTGTTTGTCAGGTACTCTGCTCGGTACGCTGTTTTAACCACTTCCTCCAACCCCTCTCCTTCCTCAGATCCAAGCGTCCCCGGTCCACGCTTCACTGCTCCGTGTCTCTAAGCGTACTCATCCCGTGCTGTTTTTGTCTGGTTTAAATAAACAACCTAAAACTGTCTCCTGCCTCCGTGTGTGATCTGCATGTGGGCCATGCACCTAAAACCCAACATGACAGACTGTAGGAATGTATTTTCAAGAAAAGGGTAAATGTTTGAATTGATGTTAGCCTAATGAATAGCTTTTCATGTTTGGAAAATAATAGAACTGATGGATTCCTTGAATCACTTAAACGATCCATTTAAAGTAGGAAAAGTAGGGAAAGTTGAAACATATTTAACACATCTCAGATCAGATTTTTATGGATTATTTGTATTAAAAACAAAATATTTGTAGAAATTAAACTCCTACTTGTCCCCTATACACCCATACAGTTTCACGCAGAAGCTTAATTTAGCTCGGGACCCAGCGGGAACCATGTCACAGACTGCATCACTTCACTGTCTTGCTTCCTCCATTCACAGGCTAAATAGCGCCTCTTATCCATTTAGTACTTTTTCTGCAATGAATATGCAATATGGGGCGTTTACACGCAAAAGTGCGTCTTGTGTGAGGAGAACATGTAAATATATTAATTTAGCACTCACAAAGTGATTTATCAAACCTGAAAGCAATTTTGCCAACGGTATCTGACTCTATTTAAAGAAGGTGCAAATGGTCTGTATGCGTAATTGCGCACACATGGCAGCGGTTATTGTCGCAAGAAGGAGACATCGAAATGACGCAAGGAGATGCAGAGAACGAATTTTTTCACTCCGTGTGAATATTTTTGGAGTGAACAAGAAAACGATCATCAAAACATATCGTTAATCCAGCATTGCCATTTTGGAGCTGTTGGGGGAACTCCGAATGGATTTGGAGCCAGCCACAAGGAGGACCCACGCAATACCAGCTATAACAAAACTCCTTGCAACGTTGCACTTTTTTGCATCTGGGTCATTCCAGCGTACGGTTGCAGCGAGAGCTGGGATCTCCCAATCTCGTTTTTCAGAAGTGCTGTCCGACGTTCTAAATGCCAACATTTAGAACATGCCAATGCTGCGGGGATGCTTACGCACAGTCATCTCATCCACAGTCACTTCTTGTGAGCCATTTGGTATGTGCATTTTTCTACAGGCCAATACAAAACACCTGTTTTTTGTTTTTCTTTTTACTTCAGTGAAGTAGAAATTCAGCCACATACCACCTTAGGGAATAAAGGTTGCTAAAGTTTTTTTTTTGTTTGTTTATATGTATATATATATTTTTTTTTTTTTTGGAGGGGGTGGGGGTGTCACTGTAAGATTAAAATTTCTTAATGCACTAATTTGTACAAACTACTTTGCCGCAAACCACAAAACGCGCAAAACCATCATTTAAATAGGGCGTCTCCAACAGTTTTGCGCCTGCCACCAGTTACGCAATCACTCTTGTTAAATCACCCGCAAACCATGGTTCAGCCCCTCGCGCAAAATTCCAGTTTGCGAGCGCAAATTACTGCACGCAAAATTGGATCTTGATAAATCCGGCCCTCTGTGTATTAAAAATGACAAAAGTAATATTGACCCTTTATTTGCATAAAGAATTTTAAATTCTGTGTTCAAACTTATTTGAATTTGATTACAAATTTATTTGGAAAAATCAATAATGATTAAATCCTGGACCAAAACAAGAATTTCAAATCATGTAAAACTATCACATTTAGAGTAACATAACATTATTCCAGTTCTGCTCATCAAGCATTATTTACAGCAATATGATCCACATTTTATATTCTAACACATGCACAGTCAAAATTAGAAGATAGCAATAATTAATGACTTCTTGACCCAATGGTTGATCCTGTCATGAACTGGTGAGCTGTCCAGGTGGGCCTCCTCTTCTGGCCTGATGACGGCTGCAGACAGACACCAGTTCCTGCTGTAACCTTGAAGTTTCATTGGATTGATGGATGAAGAATGGAGACCCTTTGACTCCTCCTTGTCTCATTGAGGTTTATGATGCCTGAACCTCCATCACTCTGACACCATTCTTCTGTGTCCTGTGGAAATTAGACAATGAATAATTATTGTCAGACTAAATTCTCTTTATTCTCTCTGGTTTTCTTCTCAATATCTTCAATAAACACTACGTTAGAAACAGCAGTAGTGGATCAGCTCCTGTGGACATTAAACAATCAAGAAATATGCTGATGTTGCTCCTCTGACTGATGCCTAAAATTTGAAAAGTTTTAGGAGGATATTTCTTTCGTTACTCAGCCCACTTTACAGCAGCATCATTTTTAGGTTCTCTTCAAGTCAAATATCAAGTTTAACAACCATACATTAAAATTATTGCTTCAAGGAAATCAAGCAATATAATTTGCTTTGCTAATGATCAAAAAATCATTTTAACCAACAGTGTAACTTTAAATGTATGAATAAAAACTGAAATAAAAGTTTCCAATTTCTGTTTAAAGCATTTTCAATAAATTTTACACACTGAATATAAACAAGCTTACCTTCTTCTCTTGTTTGTTGGATAATTTAAACCAGCTGAAAGAATAAAAATAACGTCAACAAACAAACAGCAGAGACCTGCAGATCTGCAGCTCAAAGAATCAACTCATAGAAAAATGAGTCTCACCGCTGAAAGATGCAGACTGCACTGCAGAGCATTATGATCCCCAGGATCTTCAATATAACATAGAGACTGACTCTTGGCACTGGATTAAAGAAATGTTTGATAGATGTAGGGTTTTTTATGCAAAGAATAAAAATGAAACATTAAGAGAAAAACTTCCGTAAAAGTTCAAAAAATATCCACTGGACCTGGTTTTCAAGATTTTAAGACGTTTCGCCACCTCTCCAGGAAGCTTTCTCAATTGAGAAAGAATTGAGAAAGCTTCCTGGAGAGGTGGCGAAACGTCTTCATTTTTTGTTCAATTTTTTGAACTTTTACGGAATGACTATGACCTTGATGACTGGGAATCTTCATCAGGAAGAGAAAAACTAAGACTCACTTGCAATATTTTTTTTAGCTTAAAATATTTTACATTTGAATGATTCAATAACTCAACTTTTGAACTGTTTTCAAAACTTAACACAAAAGGCCCTTAGATTAGATACATTTAACTTTCTGGGGATATAAATGTGGATTCATTAAAAACCAAGAGCTACAATGTACCTTCAGTATTAAGTAGAATCACTGCTGATCTCTGATTCCCCAGATCATTTGTAGCCTCACAGTAATACTCTTCTCCCTCAGTAACATTGAAGCTGTAAACCTGCCCCACAGATACATTAATGGCTCCATGTTTGCTGTTCCTGAACCAGTTGAAGCTGGCAGGAGGCTTGGCTCTGCTGGAGCAGCTCAGCTCCACCCAGCTACCTGCTGACACCAAACCTGATGGACTGATGGATGCTGAGGTATCTTTAGGAGCATCTGAGGAAAATGGGACACACATTAACTTTATTGATCAGAAACAGCTGAACCATGATGTGCTGACAGGATCACTAACATGAAACACAGAGTCACTTCTGTCTCTGCTGTCTTGCTTCCTCCATTCACAGGATATCTGGCAGAACAGCTGATGTTGTATCTATCATGTGTGTCTGACAGAGTGATGGTCTCCTGGATTTTAGTTGTAAAGGTTCCATCTGTGTTTTTATCTGTTTGTCTCTCAGAGTCTTGTTGGAGATTCCAGGTGAGTTCAGGAGGTGAGTGTGGACAGGGAGTCACAGCTGAGCAGCTTATAGTGACAGACTGATGCTCCTTCAGATCACCAACAGGGATATTAATGCTGGGACTCCAAGGAGAATCTGGAAGTTATCATCAGACATTACAAAAATACATATTTTTCAAAGTTTATAATGCAAATAATAAATTGGTACAATTATTCCTATAAAGTCTTTATTAATTAACAGTCTGATTTTATTAGATATGTTTCAATACTTTATCATTATATACATTTATTAACCTTTATATTTCACTTTTTCAATGCAGAAAACAGAAATTTTGGAAAGCTATTTAAATTGTTTTAACTTTCAACCAAGTTTCTTTGATAGTTGATGTCAGAGTTCTCTCCTTTGTTAAGGTTTGTTTTTAAGTTTTTAGTTTCACTGTAATTCTGTCTCTGTAGTTGTTTTCTGGCAGTGTTGTTTTATGTGTTACTCTCTGTTGCCCCTTGTGCCAGTTTCCTCTCCCCTATCTTTTAGTTGCTTCCATCCACACCTGCTCCTTGTCAGCTTATTAGACCATTCTTTGTTCAGTCTTATATTTATATTTTTATTTTTATTTTTTTTTCTTGTGCAGTTTCTCTTTTCTGGTTCCTCGTCGTTAATTGACTCCTTATATGTGTGTTTTTCCCTTATGTCTCGTGGTTTTTGGTTTCCTGTATTTTGTTCTTGTATGTTTTTTCTGTTGTCTTTTCCGATCATATCAGCTAAAACTCATCTCTGCATTTGGGTCCTGAACCAATAACCACCCTACCTTGACAGTTGATGCCGATAAGTACTAACTTTATTTACATAGCTCCTTTTGAGATATAGATCACATAGGGCCGTTAAAAGGAAAGCTCAAGAATATCGACTGATTCTTTGAATAACAACAAATATATTAATCTAATTTAATTTCACATTTACTGTGTATACTGTGATCTTCAAGAAGATTTTTCTTTCCTGAAAAGAGAGAAACTAAACCTAATCCTACCTACAGAAGATTTCTAAAAGATTTTTTCAACTGAAAGTTTTCCAATATTACAGCTACATCAAAAAAAAGCAACATAATTTCAAGCAGAAGCCAGTCTCTAGGGGAAAAAAATAAACCAGGTAATCCTGCAGTAAGAGTAAATTAGTGTGTATTAAACATTAGTAAATATTATTTCATATAATTTTCAGAATTACAGTACTGAAGTTCTCTTACCTTTAACTGTTATATTGAGAGGATCATCACAAGCTGATGCTTTGAACGGCCAGTTTTCAATCCTGAAGAAGTATCTGTCTGCATAACTGGTCTTTACATCAGGAAACAGAGTGGTGCAGTTTTTCTCTCTCAGGTTTCCAGTAATATTCAGTGAATAGGTGTTAACTGACCAACTGCTGTTGAAAATAACTATCTTTGTATCAGAGCCAAAATTGGTACCACCTTTCATCCAAACTCCATAGATAGTTCTGCTGCTGTCATATTTGGTATCATCTGTATCATAGATACATGGGATTTCCAAACAAGATCCACTCAGAGCTTCAATCTTCTTTGGTGTAGTGATTCTGAGCCCTGGTTTTAAACCACCACAATCAGCCAAAGTAGCTGTAAAACAGACAAATGATGAACATGATGTGGAACAAAATCTGCCTGCAGAAAATCTTCATGGTCCACAAACTCAAGTTCAGCTACATGTTCCATGTGGAGCCTTTAAACAACATCAGGATCTAATATTTCTAAACAAGAAAGTGAACAATCAGCTCACCTGGAAAAAAGAAGAAACTCAGTAACATGTTGACTGTCAGCAGGTTCTCAGACAGAGCTGCCATCAGATTCAGACTCTGGAAACCAAACATTTAGCTGATTTATTACTGTGGATCTGAAATTAGACCTTCAGCTCGTAGCAAGCAGCTTTCAATGTGCTGTAAATCTTTAAACTTAAAAATGAAAAAGCCTGTTGAAATATTTGGTTAAATAATCAGAGTCAGACATGTGAACTCACCAGAATTTCTTCAGTAAGCAAAAAACTGTTTAGCTTTCAAACCAGTTGATCTGTTCTGATCAGTTGATCAGCAGCAGAATAAACAGCAGCCTTCTCTGTTACTAGATATGTTATTTAAAGGACTCTCCATCCTTCATGGTTTGTAAAGAGGAAGTCAGCTCTTTCTCACCACTGCATAAAGTCATCTCATGAAGGGTGTTTTAACACAGAGCTAAGAGACATAAACTAAATATGATAAAAGTTGATCATTTTTCATTGCACAGCTGCCTCAATCAATGCTAGATCACAAAATCTGAAAATACCAAAACAACTGGAAAATACACATATTTATCATTTACCATAGAGGCCATCAATGCCTGTTCTCCATAAGAACCACCTGCAGAACTAAAAAAAACCTTAAGCTTTAACTTCTCGTTTTTACTTCAGTTTCTCAGGTTTTTCTCTGCAGTAAAACAGCCATCACTTCAAGTCTTAACATTTCTCTATAAATATTTGTTCAAGGGAGGAAATTGAAAGAAGAAGAAATGCTTTGTCGCTATACAGTTATAGAGTTACCTTCACAACTACAACTTAAAGGTTTCCATAAGTACTTCTACTCCCAAGTCATTTGTTGAAATAATCAGTATTATTCCTGCTTCCTTTAATTCTTTACTATATATTTTTTTCTTCTTTTTGACATTTAGACTTTGCGCTTAATGTTCAAATACTTCTGTGGATTTTTTACTAAAATCTGATGTTCTCTGAACTCAAGAATAATGGCACAAAACAATCCAGATGCATTAAACAGTGTGTAGCCTTGCATGCAGGTGTAACAGAACCTATGTAGGTACCAGATCTGCTGCCCTGCCCTAAGATCTTATTAAAAAAAATAAAAATAAACTGAGACTTTTCGTGTCAACTTGTTAAATGGCAGAGCTCAGTCTGTCTCAGAAGGCAGTAGGTTCCTTTAAGACTGACAATGATTGTTTTTAGTTTTGGCTACTTTAGATCATCAATGAAATGTGAAATAATAGCAAGTATGGGTAATAATATGTTGAGACTCCAAAAGAGATTTGATCCATAAGAAACGGGTGCAATACAGTTTGTTCGAGTGGAGTTGCCATGTGTTGACGTCATAAGAAGGGGCAGATCTGAGCAGATCTGGTTCCTGCAGATTAAATGTTCCTGTAAAACAGGAGAATGAATGAGACAGGCAACAGCCATATTGAAGGAGAGCCTATGACTTCACTATACTGTGTCATGACACCTTCTGGTGTGAAGGTGCAACTACAATGCAAACAAATTATTGCCCAAAGTCAGTCTTTCTCTTAAACTCAAACAAATACTAATGTGAATACACATTAGTGTGTCACACAGGTATGTTGAATATTTTTGATGATGCTCTTGTTGACATCCTGCTGTGGGTGTAGATCTATACAGATAGAAAAAAAAATTCCAATAAAATGCCACAGGTTACGCTAGGGAGCAATGCACTCAGGTTAAATGTAATTGAAGGCTGCATATTTTTTTTATCTGTTTGTTACTGGTGTTCGTAGCCATTTAAAGATGGCATTGCCAACAGGTTAGGGGCCCAGAGAGGAGTTTGGAAGCTAATTTAACAGTTTATGCCTTGATGAAGATGAAAATAATTATGAGCTGTAGGAAACTACATTTTTGGCCCACCATGTTTGCTTGATTTGAAGAGCATTGTATTATTCAAGATGTAGCCCCTAAAGATGATGGCACCAAAACTAAAGAGGCATATTTAGAACTAATTCACGTCTTGGATGATAAGAGTCATTCCCTCGTCATAGGAGATGCTGTGGATTATGGCAGAATATCTCTAAAGATCCTCCAAAAACACTATGCTGGTAGCTATGAGTGATTAGTCTGTACATGGAGTTGGCAACTCTTCTGAAAGGTGTCAAATAGAGCATCATTGACTATATCATCCTTGCAGAAACTTATATCACAGTGCTACGTAACACAGAAAATGTTTTAGGTGATAGCCTGCTGTTTGTAATGACTTATGTCATAATTAAAGAACCTTGAAATTAAATATCTGGTCATGATGTGTTTTTGTCTGTGTGTTCCTTTAATAAATGTGCTTCTTTGATTGTAAAAAGTTTCAGACGTATATTTTTCTATAAAATGCATGAGAGGGACTTTTATCAGCTCATAAGTTATAAACTTTTTTTTTTTTTTTACCTAAAGTCATTTAAATGAGGTATTTTTTCCTCTTATTAAAGGGCAAGTATTTTGTGTTTCCCAGTATAGAATATAATTCTATACTTAAACCTACTAACAATGTCCCCGTTACTTGTTAAGAAGGATGTTGCATCATAGCTTTAGAAACGCATTCAAATTGCCTTCTTGTCTCTTTAGAAACCTGCGGTTTCTGTTTAATCCCATTTCAGCACATCATCACAACAATGCTATGTGCGGTTTACAAACTGTCTTATGAGTTAGTTTTTTTGGTGTTTGTGTATATATATATATACATATATATATATATATATATATATATATATATATATATATATATATATATATATATATATATATATATATATATATATATATATATATATATATATATATATATATATATATACACTACCTGGCCAAAAAAAAAGTCACCACCTAGATTCAACTAAGCAAATAGGTACGAGCCTCCTATTGGATAATTACTGCATGGGCGATTATCTTTCAGCTGGCAACAAGTTATTCAACCCCAACTGGTGCAATGACTTGCTTCTCATTTCCTAAACAACCAATGTCGA